ATAACGTAAACAGCGTTAAAAATTCATCAATCGCCTACAACGCGCTAGCCCCGCACCCTGGGTGAATCGCGATTTTAGGTAATTATTTCACGCAGGTAGCAAGAGTGACAGAGGCCTGCTCGGGTTAGTAAGAAACCTCTATAAGCGAGAATTAGATTGTGCTCCCTTGAACTCTCGCTTATCCAGGTTTGACTGTACATTAGGAATGTGAAATTTTATTTTATTTCAAGTTCCTACACTTCAATCTACTTGTGCGCGGCTCATTAAACTTATTTACGTATGCTTTTCGCAGAACGTTGAAATACTTGTCTAAAAATAATCTTACACATCCATCACATATAGAAATATTTATTTGTGCGTATACATTTGAAATTAATCTACCTTTAACAGTGCTTACAGAAACTTTTAAATAATTGTCTATATTTTCCTTGAAAACTTTGTTGATAACATCTGAAACTCTCTTGACATTTTCATTAGGGAAGAAAAGCCTTGAAGAACTGTCATATTTCTTTAGCTCTATTTGTGTATTTTCTAAACTATAATCATTATCTAGGCTACATACTAATTCTTACATTTATCATAGTAAACTACACACCCAACCCTCATCATGTAAAATTAGTACTTTTAAATATATTCTTTTTTTACTTTTTTGTTTCCATACAGGGCTAGACAATGAAGAGACAAATTGAAACCATTTTTTATTTTGAACGACAAACGCCATCGAACAGTGGAGTATTCGCCAGACTACGTTTGTATGGAAGAATGAGTGGCCAGTGTACCCTTAACCACCAAATTTATGCAACGGAACCAGACTCCAAGTGAAATTTCTTCGCAATAACGTGATTGGTGCCACAGTTTTGACTGGTCCAGCAATAGGGAAAACAGTGCTGATACCTCGCATCCCTATGATACCATCGGATTTGCCTTTTAACTTTAAAAGAAATTAATTTGCGGTAAAGGCATCGTTTGCGGTAACAATTAATAAGGCCCAGAGGCAAACATTTAAACACGTAGGAATAAATTTACGCCAAGAGTGTTTTTCACACGGGCAACTATATGTTGCCCTATCGAGATCTGGTTCTGGTGAAAATCAATATCTTCTTCTAAAACAGAACTAAAAATATAGTGTACGTAGAAGTACTTTAAAATAACATTAGTTTTAAGTTTTTTTTGAGAAAAACCTATAATCCACACGATATAAGATTATAAGACCCAGTACTTTAACCTAACGTTTTAAAGTTCCATTCTTACTGATAAAATCGTGATGTTAAACTTACATCTTGTTATAGATAATTATAAGAAAAGGATAAATAATATCTCTAGTTTATTATCAAAATATAAGAAAAAATGTTTAATGTAATCTAATGTAAAAATAAGTGAATTTCTTTTGCAAAGAGAGCAAATCATGCAGGAAAACGTAGGTAAGTGTTACTGTCTCAAAAACAAATAGTCTTAACCAAGTACATTATCCTGTGAGTATTTCTGAAAATAATTCAGAATACTATTTGAACGATATGTAAGCCAGCTATATTATGGTTGTAACATGAATGGGTCGGCTCGACCGGAGAAGGATCACGTTCTCACAGAAACAAGCGTAAAATAGCTGCATAATGCTGTTGTGTTTCGTATGGTGGGTGTAGAGAATTTGGTCCTCAGTGGTAACAACGCATGAAAATGATGTCTATGAGCCACAACATCGACTTACCTAATTGAGGGGGAGAGGGGCGGGAAGTGCTCTTCAAACTTGATAAGGCACATCACTTTTATTTTATTTTAATACGTGGATTAGCTTATTTTTTAACATCTAACGGCTTTAAAGATTTCGGCAAAGTAACGACTGATTCTATTAACTATCCTAATTGTGATTGTGAAGATAATTATGATTGTCAGTTCCCATGCGTTACAACATGAGCCGTGGTACCTTGGGGCGGAAATAAATACCATAAGAAGAACGAAAATTACAAAACAGTTACCATACATAGATAGGGATAAATTAGTTGTTCAAAAGCGCAAATAATTTTATTTTGAACAGATACATTCAATAGATTTTTCATGATATCCAGATTCCCAAAGGTCTGTTTATAAAATTTCGCGCGCTCATTTTTGTTGTAAATCATCATGCCCTTCGCTTTCGCACATGATGTCGGCTGAGATAGCATGCATTTTAACCCCGCCCACCACTTAGTTCGTGCCATCGACTTCACTATTGGAGTGCCAGTTTTTAATTTGAGTGAATGTGGCGGAAGGCCACTCCGATTTAGAGAATTCAAAAATTCTTGTGGGTATTGTACCGCATCCTCTTGATCTATTGCGTTATCAATGGGCATGTAGTTAAAGCTATCTCCTGGAAGTTTACCCAGCATTATGTTATTGATCTCGTCAACGCTACTATTTCTAGCTGTCAATATGACCCACATCCACTGATATTCTTTTTTTCTATATGGACTACATCTGGATATTTGGAGATTAGGTCTTCAATGTTGCTAACTTTCTCATTTAAATCGCGATCAATTTCAATTTTGTTTTCGAAATGAGGTACTTTCCCGGCTCCTATTAAAAGTAACTTTGAAGGAAAATTTGTAGTACCTCCACCCGAATGTGCTCGCATATTTGTAGATAGTATTAGGGTATGAACGAACTTTCATTATGGGGAAGGTTTTAAGCAAGACTACAGATTGTCAACTCTGACTCCCCTAACTATCACCGGTAATGTTTGGCAAAAATCACCAGCAAACATGATTTTGTTAGAGCTTCTAATATCTCTAAGGGTCCTTTCTAAAGCCTCTACATGAGCTCTATGAATCATAGTGCATTCAGCCCATATTATTAAACTGACATCTTGGGAAACTTTTCCCAGACGGTCATTTTTAGGGATCGAGCAAACGCTATTTTTCTGCAAAGAAATAGTCAAAGGCAGTTTAAAAGTTGAATGAGCGCCGCGTCCACCCGCTAGTACAGTCGTAGCGATGATGATAGTACAGACGACGCTACGGCCAAAGCTAGTTTTTCTTAAGACCTAACTTTAGCTAATATTAAATTGGTAACAAAAGTTTTGCCGGTTCATCCGAAAAAAATATCTTCCCCTTTATTTAAAGTTACAAGCCTATATCCTCTCGTCTGTACAAACGCCATATTCTGGCGTCTCAAATAATATGCGCATCTGTCAAACGCCATAATATGGCGTCGAGTGATAGCAAACTATTTGTAACAATATATGATATATATATATATATATATATATAACATACATATGTATAACATACACATATATAACATATATATCTGTTATGCATAATCTGATAGCTTATTTAATAATGTTTCCATTGATATATGGTTTCAATATACTTACTTAGTATATATATACATATATACTTAGTATACTTGTTATATACTAAGTACTTCGGAAAGTGCTCGACAGATGCGCCATATTGGCCAAAATGACCCCGACAATCGAGTGGCTATACGTCCCACAGCTGGGCATAAGCCTCCCCTCATTTCTGAGAGGGTTTTAGGGCAAGGAAGTGACCGTCGCGCATTGCGTGTTGGCGAACTTCACATGTCTTCGAAATATTTTTTCTTATTCCTCAGACATGCAGGTTTCCTCACGATGTTTTCCTTCACCGCCGAGCACGTGGTAAATCAGGACTTAAAACTGCAATTAACAATTTCATTAGTGCCAGCGGGGATCGAACCTGGGTTACTCGCGTTCTGTTATATTTACAGCGAGCGTTAACCATCTGAGCTACTACAGTCCCTTTATTTGGATAAGGATTAATATCATGTTCATAAAAACACCTTCGCAAATATTGCATTATTTTAGAACAAATTTGGTTAGCTAGTAGTTAAAAAAGATTATAGTGAGCCAACCTTAAAAGATAGACATGCTGTCGCGGATTTTTTTTAGAATTTTAAAGGGAAACAATTCTGTCATACATGATTTTTGCGAAACGCAGCGAAAGCTTTCAAAAGGTAAAAAATACCGATTTTGAGACATTCTTCATTCGTGCTCCGTTTCTATTGGTCAAAGCAATATATAGTCTATAGCCTTCCTCGATAAATGGGCTATCTAACACTGAAGGAATTTTTTAAATCGGACCAGTAGTTTCTGAGATTAGCGCGTTCACGTAAACAAACAAACTCTTCAGCTTTATAATATTATATATAAATATAATATAATATGATATATATTATTTATCCATGGTAGAGCCATGCTACAGTTATATTAGTAGTATAGTTAAGGAACGATGGGTCGCCGCGACCGGGGAAGGGCCACGCTCTCACAGAATACCAGCGTAAAATAGTAGCTTAATGCTGCTATGTTTCGAATGGTGAGTGTAGAGAACCGGACACCCTTTATTTACTGGAAACAAGGCATTCTATCTTAGTCCTCATGGGTGACAACACACCTGCATTTTGATTCGTAATCGAGGACAGATGTAGATGTCTATGGGCCACAGCAACCACTTACCATCAGGTAGACTGTGTGCTCGTTTGTCACCCTATCCTACAATATATATATATATATATATATATATATATATATATATATACAAATAAACCCGAAAAATAACCAAGCTAATTAGTAGGTACGTTCATCATGTTCCAAGCCGCCGTCGATATCATCGTGACAGTAACGATGATCGACGGATGACGTTGTTATCACTATGATATTAGTGACACTGGTACAATACTCACAGCATCACCATCGCCATCACCACTATAGATTGTGGCAATATATCTACACTCAGCTGCCTACTAGTCTATCTTAAATATATATAAAAGGGTCGTCGAAAAGGGCAGAACAATGTCTGCCTGGCAAGCTAGTACTATATATACATGTACCCATTAATCCAACCTAGCCTGTGACCCTGCGTAGTGACAAGGTCAAAGATGCCTACTAAATTTATTGTTTTACTGCCGTTCCTAAAGTAGGGTGGACATGATTTGAATATCGATGGATTTTAATTATTTTATTTATTTAATTCAAAATGTTTGCATACCTGAAATGTATGATCACAAATATGACACTTATATTGTATTCTCCTGTAGTTATGGGCATTGACCATGTGATCTGAGAGCAGATTGCTGTCCATATCCTCGAAGCAATGTAGGCACATCATTTGACCAGTTTTCGGGTTGACCGTTGCTTCCGTAGAATTGAATTCAATTGGATCATGGTCGGTTTGTACACACTGTGCTAATTCCAGCAAAGCCCTAAAAGGCAAATACATGGTTATAAAATGTATATTACCATTATTTAAATATAATAAAATTATAGAGGTAAATATTTACAATTTCGTGATTTATTTATTCAGCAGATCTCTGTGAAGACTGATATATTTTTTATAGAATAAGGATGACAAAAGAGTATATTACGGTCCACCTGACGGTAAGTGGATGCTGTATCCCATAGACATCTACATCTATCCTCGATTAAGAATTAAAATGCAGATGCGTTGTCACCCCTGAGGACAGATTGAATGATTTATCTCCAGTAAAAAGGGTTTTCGGTTCCCTAAAAGCACGCACGCAAAAACAATAGAATTTTCTCCGGCATCGTGGTGGCAGTTTACGTTCATAAATTGCACAAAGACTCATCCAGCCCTAAAACAATTATTTGTAGGCCATCAATCAAAGAAGCCACAAATGAATCTAACCGTCATCACGTCGCACAGCTGGGCACATGAGGAGGTCAATTCGTTTTATCGCAAGGAAATACCCGAGTACGTGATGGCGGACTTCACATGTCTGGTTTCCTCAAGATGTTTTACTTTACTACTGAGCCCGTAGTAAATCAATATTTGAAATTGCAATAAAGAATTTATTTGGTGCCTGCGGGAACCTAACCCGGGTTGCACGCATACCGTGAAATTTAGTTGGTCCACATCTCAAATCAAATTCAAACGAATATATCTCATATAAAAAGACCTTTAGGTCTAAGGTGGAATGCTTTATAGCCTTTAATTATACTGACCTCTTGGACAAGAACACATAGGAAACTTCTGCTGAGTGACATCTGACCTACCCCATTGGACTCCCAGGCCAAAATGAACTCCTACCACCTACGACTTAGCTTACAGATATAAAAAATAAGTATTTTTAAGTAAAGGCTAAAGGAGGAAAGTTATTTTGAGCTATTGGGAAGATGCTGCCGGTCATCCCCTGTTTAATTTCTCTCTGTCGTCTCTTACAATACCCACGGGATGGTATGGAGTAGAAGCAGTGTTGCCAACTTGACGGGTTTCGTTCTGATTTGACGGGTCAGCGATGTTGGCAATGGGAATTTTTTTAACGGTGAACGGATTTTTAACGGAGCTACTAAAATTTATCATATTGTTCGCGCCATATGGAGAGAACAGTTTATTTGTTTTTTTTGAAAGAAGGTTTAAAATAGTATGTTTTACTCGTATATTTTGGTTTGTTGGTTATTCTCTTAGATTGAATTCTGAAAAACAATCTACGTGTGTCAAGAATCGATATCAAATCAATTCATTTTTAATATTTAAGGAGGAATGAAAACTCGAAAATCCCAACTTGACGGGTTTTAACGGGATTATAGTGTTCTCTACAACGGGAGCTAGATTTTAATGTTGGAAACACTGGTAGAAGATTTATTTACGCCACCACTTACAAAAAACATAGTTTCATAAATTACCTAAAGTAATAAAACAATGTACATAGTAAATAAGTTTAATAACTTAATAAGCAGAAGCAAAACTATTTAATATAAAAATTAAATTATAGATAGGGGAAAAAGTTTGTTTGTACTTATTACGTTTGTATAAAATAGGACATTAAACTTTTCTTTATTGTCTAATTTTAAAATAAAAAGTAAAAAACACTTTCCCGCCATTTTTCAATTGTTTTTCACTTCGCCAAAATGAGTGAATCTAACGAAGAAATTCGATACATTTTGAAATTTTATTACAAAAAAGGGGAAAAAGCGACTCAAACCTAACGTGACCATACGTCCCACTTTAGACGGGACGGTCCCGATTTAAAGGTTTGTGTCCCGCTGTCCCCAAAATACGTAAAAATGACACGCTTTGACAAAAAAATGCGTAGCATCATGCAAACTCTGTCACCCGTGTCATCATTATGACACCGCGCGTACCAGGTTTGCCGGCACGGCCTCACTAGTTACGTGATTATTCTGAAAACCTACACTTTTGAACTTAAAGTTACGAAGTGACAATTTTTAATTAATCTACAATAAATTATCAAATAACATGAGTTATATCCAATTAGTATTTATTTGCTGTTCAGAAAAAATTAAAATGCCAGCAGCCAGATTGTATATGATTCTAAGTTCTCATTCTCACTTTTGATCATTAAAAGATTCAAACAACTAGGTATGTGTTTTATTTTTAAAACTTTAATATAGGGCTCAAGATTGAATTTTGGTAACGGCGACCGAGAATAGTCATCTGCGCAGGACAGGATTTTATTACCTACTCAAGTGTATGCGCAAACACAAGTCTACCCTACTCCCTCACTCTTATAGTCCGATGATACGGCAATCCGAGATGACGGGAGAGAAATCTGGCGCAGGACCAACGGCTTTACGTGCTTCCGGAGGCACGGTGGTGAAACCCCGCCAACTTCAATAAGTTCGAATTCAATACCTATTCCGGGCTGCTACTGAGAATTTTGTGACAGAAAAACCCAATAAATGATTGCTGGCCCGACTCGGGTTTCTAACCCGGGAGCACATGATCAGCAATTACGTTTACGACCATTAAACAAGGAAGGCATTCAAGTGTTAAAAATATAATAATTTTAAAGGCGTCCCGCTCTCAGGGAAAAAATAAATGGTCACTTTACTCAGACCGCAAAAAATATTTGTGATATTAGTAGTTACGACATAACCGAGGAATTGTGGATTGACTATGATCTTTTTCTCACCTTCTTGTCATAGGCGATCCACTTTTCATCACCAGTGATAAATCTTTTCAAAAATGGTTCGGTTTCATTACGTTGAAGGAATGTATAACTGGTTTCTTAGCTGTTTTTTTATAGCCAGTCTTTTTGGTTTTTTTCATCTAGACTTATATTATTTTTGTTTTTCCCCTTTCGTAATAAAACTTCACAATCTATCGAATTTCTTGTTTAGATTTACTAATTTTGGCGGACAGAAAAACAGTTGGAAAATGGCGGGAGTGTTTTTTACTTTTTTCTTTTTCTTAATGTCAAATATGTATTGATATTAAAACCAGCCAGATACAAACAGTACAATCTAAGATTTTCTGCAATTACCTATATACAAACAAAATACGAAGAAACTTTTTCGCCGACCCATTATTTCATTTTTACATTAAGTAGTTTTGATACTGCTTAATAGCTTTATGTAATTTATGAAACTATGGTTGTTATAAGTGGCGGCGTAAGAAAATCATTTTTTTATAGGATAGGATGACAAACGAGCACACAATCCACCTGATGGTAAGTGGTTGCGGCAGTCCAGAGACATCTACATCTATCCTCGATTACGAATCAAAATGCAGATGCGTTGTCACCCGTGAGGACTAAGATGGAATGTCTCGTTTCCAGTAAAAAGGGTCTCCGGTTCTCTACACTCACCATACGAAACACAGCAGATCTTCTACCCCGTATCATCCCATGGGTACTGTAAGAGATGAGAGGGAAATGAAACAGAGGTGGTCAGCAGCATCTTCCCGATAACAAGTCAAAATCACCTTCCTTATTTAGCCTACCCTTAAAATACTTATTTTTTTAATATCTGAAAGCTAAATTGTAGGTTGTAGGAGTCCATTTTTGCCAAGGAGAGGAGAGTTAGTGTTTTGAGTTTATTACGTGGTAGAGCCATACTGCTGTTATATTAGTAGTAGTTAGGTTGTACCAGTTCTGGCGCACGACGTTCGTCGACTCACAATCCCAAAAAAAAAAAAAGGTTTTGGCATGCTCTGATCACGAATCTGCGGTCCATTTTTGCGTAGGATGCACGGTTCCGGAGATGTGCAGATCAATTAACTCTTATCTAATTGATATCCGCTGCGAGCCTCAACCGTCATTAGCGCTCCATTGTCCTTATCTACTTATCTATTGTTGATTGACTACCGTCATTATCTATTATTCGTCAGCGTGTGGGTCGGCTTATGCTATTGTATTATACTCCTTTGTTCCTATCTACAACACTAATCTGAATCATCAATAAAACACATTACCTAATTTTGTTAAAATTTTTATTTATAAAATACAAAATCTTATTACTTATTATCTATAAAATAGGAGCGAAACATCTCATCCACTAAAATATCGTTGTACAATGTGTTCTCTGTAAATATACTCGTAAAACTATGCATTGAACATCCCTGAAACTTATATAGCAAATACATTAAGCAATATTCGCCACAAACTGAAGTCCACTCATTCTGAATCCTATCAACATTCCAGTTCCATCTTTTACAATTTCTTTTAAAAAACTCTAGATGATATCGTACAGGTGCCCGTCCGAATGAATCAAAATATTGACCGACGTCATTCGTATCGATATATAAAGCTACCCAATGTGACCCTGGTTTATCATCTGTATCCAAATTGCATATTATATACGTTGGTACGTGGGTGTACATGGGTAGTTTATTGGCAGCATAAACATTATTTTCTAGAGTGGGTTGAATCTTTTTCAGATGTTGTTGTACATCTAGTGTATCCATAATATTACTGCTATTAGTAGATTATTACAGTACCAATCTACTCAATGACTAATATAGGAATGATCAATTATAGTGATATCTAAATATTAAATTGCTTTCTTTGTGTTATACAAAACGTATTTGAGTCACCAATACACTGAACAAGACACGACAGGAAGGACGTAGGAATGTAGAGATAAGCAACAGAATGTAAGGTAAGCTTGTTGACGCATAAAGATACTATCAATTCTACTGCAGAAATTCTTTAGATTAGAATTATTACTCACTGGTACTATATAAGACCAAGCAACTGCAGTCATGGAGTTAGTGTATGGTCGTTTGACCGCAGTGGATCTATCAATACTACGTTTGTGTTACTTCAACGCATCAAAGGCCATGGATGTAAGTGTTTATTCTATTGACAAACTTACTTTTCTTTCTGTTATTTTCTTACGTGTGTATGATTTAGTGTTAACAAATTATATTTAAATATTATGTGTGTGTATATGGTTAAGCCGTGGTAGCTCAGATGGTTAGCGCAAAATGTAAAATTCATAG